TCGACATAAATTGCTTCGCGTTTCGTGTGTTCGATTTCCTCTGAAATGATCTCTAGCATCTTCGCTCGAACCTCTCGTTGTATAGAAGTCAGTGAGTCATCTGGTGCATGAGGCTCAGAACTCGGACTCAGCACCTCGACATTAGTGCATATGTTAGAAGGCTGTGAAGACCATGTGTTTGTTGGACTCACCGCGGCGGTGACGGCGACGAATATACGGTAAATATTCTTCTTTAGCACAATCAAAAAAGGAGAAAATCTGGAAAGGCCGGCAACCGTGACCTTAAATGAACAATCATCACTCGCCATCACGTTATCGATGTAATTCGCACATTTGTTAAAACCATAACCGCTCCTTCTTGAATTTTGTTAGCGTAGTCATGAGGTCTGTAAATGTCTGGAAATTTTACGACCGCCTCAATTTCACCTGAAATTAATAAATCAGAAGAGTCAGGAAAGATTAAAGCTATGCATAGTCTAAGTTTTCGTATCTTGGGAGCGTGCTGTGAAGTTAAAAAGTACTTTCAATCGAAACATTCATTAAAGGAATGAATGCGTGAAATAGCTATAATCCTTTGGCCAGTCAGTTTCGAGGACAGCTTCTCCTTTAGGGTCGCGAGAACAGACGCTTCAGACAGTTTCCAACGTCTCAGCTTTGTTAGAAAAAAATCCGTGACTGCAGCAGAATCCGTTGAGGCATTTGCCCAAAACATTTTTGGCCATTCACGGGGTCTTCAGCCGGATGTTCCGTAGAGCAAGTAATAGTTATTCCTTTCATATAATCAGATTAACGATCAAAAGAATGCAACTAGAAAGCGTTCAGGAACGAAAGGTTTCTCTTACCAGATGGATCTTGAACAATGACTCTTAAAAAGTTTCCGCACTTTTCAACAAGACGTTTCACGACCACGTACAACGCTTCAATCTTGTTATCCGGTAAAAGATGAAAGGAAAACTAAATTTAAGCAGCACAGCAACAGAAGAGACATTTGAAGGTAGAAACAATTAAGAGTGGAAAAAAATATTGATTCATAACAGTCTGAATAATGACCATCTATTTTTTTAATTTATGGTTCAAAACAACAAGTTACTAGATGATATTAAGTCCGTTCATTCATCTTCCACTTATTGCACTGCATCGAAGACGACGCCGGGGGCCATACAAGCATTTTACTTAGATCCAATGAGTGTGTGATGAAGCTTATGTTATTTCGATGCTATTGTTGTGCAAAGAGATCTTACAATTCTGGTGGAGGTCATTCATCTGGCTTTGCGATGAGTATTCTCTTTGCAAGGCAGCTATCGTTCGTGCGTTGGAAATGATCCCACTGTCTTAAACGACCTTGTTTCAAATTATTCTGTCACATTAGCTGGATATTCGAATTTCTGTTTTGCAACAACATTTTCTTCTCTTCATTTCCATTATGTGCTTTTTCAACTTTTCTTAAATTCTACCGTATCAAAGCCATCGAGTAAGGCGTTCCGAGAACAGTCGCTGTATATCCGCAGTTTGGTTGTCATTGCCAGCATTTTTGTTTTTTCAGAGCTTGAATAATTTGTTGCTCACTACTAATGCCAATTCACAACCCGTGTGTCTTAACTTCACTTGTCACTCGACGGCCTGCATCCAATGTACAACCACGACAAAGATGCTCCGGTGCCTTTTCCACAACTTTGGTGCCAAGACTCAGGCAGTAATTGGTTTGACTCTGAAACAGTGATGTCGCAACTTCGAAGAGGTCTGTGAGCAATGGGATTTCATTGTTGAAAATGCAAGACAGTTTACATAGATCTTACCGCCTCTTGCCGCAGTCCTAGCTTCACTGTTCCGCATTGGCTGCAATACCCGGTCAAAAGGCATCGAAAACAT